TACAATATTTTGTTTAGAAAAAGAGTATTAGGTTTCCTTTCCCCCAGCATTTTACTAAGGAATGTATTAGTCCATTTTGTCCTTGGATGGAATAAATCATTAGTTTTAACGGAGTTATAATCCTATCTTACAACTACAGATCCATATAAAAATTTAGTCTATTGTTCTGTCTCCAGCTTAATAAAGTTGGCTGGGAGCTCTGGAGACCTTAACCTTCCATTAATAAAAGTAATTATTACTAGAAGAAAAAACTAAAACATGAAAGATTGTTAGATTGTTTTATTAATTAACTAAAAAAAAATTTCCTTTGGCCTCAGGTGAAAGGGTAGTGAAGCTAGTGTCACAGGCACATTAGAGTTCACATTCACTTACATTCAGTATCTGAAACTAAGGACCAGATAATAAAAATAAGCTGTTTTAGAGGTAGTTTCCTACTGAATATACAAGTGTTTGTCATGCAAATCCTTGGCCAAAAGCAGTAAGAGTCAGTTGACAGAGAGCTCAACCTTGAGAGCTAAACTTAAAATAATCCGGATGAAGCAAAGTTTATGCTCAAGAAGCATGCTAAGAAAAGCCAGGCAGAACAAATAGAAACATCACAGAAAAAGAAAAGAGCTTATCAACGTTGTCTAATTGCTTAGGTAAGGTATTACAACCAACAGGAAAGGAGTATGCAGTACTGGAGGAAGGCCATGCGTTTACTGGGTGCAGGCAGTAACACACGTAAACAGATGTCACTGTAACCCACAATAAAATAAGTAGTAGAAAAATGGTCTACCAAAGAGTATCAGTTGGCAGAATGAATGATAATACAAATAAACTCACCTGTTTTCATACTGCATCTCAAATACTGGAGGTATACAAATGATAGAAATACTAACAGTGTACACCACATAAAAGAGGTGTCCTTTGTGAAGTAAGAAGTACATAAAAGAATGTAAAGCTGAGGATGAAGGGCTGCCTTATACAAGTTGGAAGTTCTCTTGTCCATATTTAAGAAGAACATACAAAACTTCAGAATAACAGCTTCTGGTATTATATCAGGTAAGAGCAAATCAAACTGTATTTTCAGATGTGCTTTAGAGATTATTTTTTTTGCCTCTTATTCCTTGAGATTTGTGTTTATGTCTATATGTTTAAAATTGTCTATAGTCTTGCCTGTGGCAATGAGAATACATTTTCATTTCAAGACATAGAATAAGATCCAAACCACTAATGAGCTCATGTATGCATGTAGCAATCTGTCATCCTGCAGCGGAGGATTAAAAGGTCATGTTATAACAGCAGCTTTGTTTCTTTCATATAGAGTGGTCAACACTAAAAATTATGCTTTCAATTTTATAAAAGTAGTAAACAAAAAATACAAGCAAATTTACTTTTTCATGCTGGCAATTTTTTTTCACTGCTAAAATCAGAAATAAAAAAAAAGAATTTAAAAACCTAACTTAACACAAAAAGTCATATGTGTATATTTATTTTATTTCTGATCAAATACAATTTCTTTAGCCCTGAAGAAGCATTAAAATTTTAGTCGCACAATTGTAACATAAGTGAAAAAGGAGCTTCACTTATACATTGTTTATAAGGTAGTTAGAAAGGAAACCTTTACTCATTAGCTTTCTACTTACAACACCCAGCTGTGGGAGAGTCAGATTTATTTCCCTTTCACACCCAGGATGACTTGAATCCATTTCATCCTTTTCCCAGGAGATTGCCCTAATTACCATACTGTAGTCATTGGGAGATGCTTTCAGAGAAAGCTCTTCTGTGAAGTTTTCCCTCTTTATACAAAATAATATTATATTAATTGGAGCAGGGACCAAAACCCAAGGAAATTCCTCAACAACAAGCCTACAGCCATACATACACTATTCCAGTTCCCAGCTTACCCCTCTACACCAGCTTCCTTCCCTCAGGTTTACCAGTTTGGCCCTCCAGATTATTAAGAACAAACTTTGGTGGGAATTTGGGTACATATGAAATTTCCTTTTATATATATTTTTTTGGCAAATTACTTTAAAACATGAAATGTGTTTTCAACTAAAAATGTACTTTCTGTGTCACTTGTGAAGAAACATCAAACTTTTCTGAAAGAATCAAAAGGATCAAGTCACAGGCATCATGTTTGACACTAGGAGGCTAGGTGGCAGAAGTTTTTATCACTCCTTATGAAGAAAAGCGTAAAGATCTTGGTGTATTAAATCCATAAACTTTAAACTAAATATCAAGCTGTTCCTTAAAAAAAAATAAAAAAATTACTAGGAAAATCTGAACATTATGCATTATAATTGAAGGAAAAATATTTCCTTCAAACTCTTACAGCAAATAATAGGCCTAAATTACCTACATCCTTCTTATTCTAATTTCCATTAACAGTAGTGGAACTTCTTGGCAGAATTCAAACAGAGAATATTCAAAGTAGATCTTGCTTTCTGATGCAAGAATAATATCTGAGCAAAATTTCAGTGATGAGGTGGTTTTATTAGAACATTTGAAAAGTCTGTCCACATTGCATGTGTACTCCATATGAAGACATTGAATTAAAGTTACCACTGAACATTGTGCCAAGTTATATTTTCTGACAGTATTCATAATCAAAGACCCAATAAATTCACAGGAAACCAAGCAACAGCAAACTGATTCTGGTCAGAGCGAATATAAACATGATAGTGTTTAAAAACAAACCAACCAACAGAAATCAGTCAGCTGCCAGACAGTATCATAATTTTCCCTGATAGTGTGTCAACAGAAGTTAAAAATTATAAACAATCTGCATTCATTTCAGAAACAAAACCTTTTTTTAAAATGGAAAATAGAACAAGAGGAAGAAAAAAGGTGAATATTCCCTGCCAAGACTTCAACGATGAGAAAATAGCCATCCTTGAAAAGCAGCTTATGGTGCTTGATTTCCCAACCACACTAATGTACCTTTCTATCATGCCTGACAACACAGGAACATATTCATGGAAAGCAATAGTGAAACTTTTAAGCTAGCATGTTGGGTAAAACATGGGTCTCAATTCAGTCAGTGTCAAATACCCATCAATTTGTAAATACCCAGGATTTTATAAATATGGTGCAAAAAGACCTCAGCCTCTTGATGACTGCATCATCTCTAGCCTAGTTTTCAGAAACAGCAATAAACAACCCCAATTTCCACTGTTTACTAAAAAAAAATTCTTGTTTCTATCATTAGTAGCTCGGTCCAGATACTGATGCCTTTGATGTTATGGATACAAGAGCAGTTAACTTCCATGGAAATAATTTTGTGTCTGTCACCTTGTTGAGAAAATACTTTTCAAGTGTTGTCATTATAAACCCCAAGATAAAAATTCCACCAAAATTCTGAGATCAACCAACATATATACTAAGAAAAGGGATTTTTTCTCAACTGTTGAGTAATATTCATGCTTCTATTTCTCTGTGTTGTGATTTGCCATGTAAGTTAAGTAACAAGACCTAAAAGTGAAACACAATGGTGAAACTGGAAGAAAAAAGATTTCCCCTTACATGAAAGATATGATCAGACTTCTTTGTGGCCAATAGCAAGAAAACTCAAGTTGTCACAAACTCAGGGGTCAGGCTAAGAGTTTAGCTTCACTTCCTAGGCACTTAGACAAAAAAACCTAGTTGTTATCTATAAAAATATAATAGTCACAATAAAAACAGTCATCACCCAACTGATTGAAAAAATACAAACTGTATGTATCATGAAAATGAACAATTACTTTGGGCTGCCATCACTTCCACGTGTTGCTCTTCTGTTCATCTAATAGATTTTTAAGTCAGAACATACCAATACGATCATTTATTTTGATCGTCTATGAAATGCACTAATTTCCTCATTAAGCCTATGACTTCTGGTGAGCTACATCATATTTGGAGAAAAAATAAACTGTTGTAGCTTTTCATTACGGAATTTTATCACCAAAGGAATCTATCACTGAAAGCTTTAATTCTAATTGAATTTTTACTGAGTAAATTAAATTTTATTTCTTCTTAAATTGGTTTCACCAGTTTTCTGTTTGTTGTTAGCCAAAAGCTAGGTTTTTTAATGCTGAACCCAAAAAATGTGTAGCTCACAAATGTTCCCACCTGAACTGAGTGGAGCTTACAATTCTCTAAAAGCATTGCATGAATTAACAGTGATGTGGTTCATATCACTAAATCTAAAACCAATATTGGGGACATTTATTCTATTAATAATCGTGGGATTAGCATGTGCTATGGGCATACCTTGCCTGGAATCATTTAAGTATGAATGTGGTAAACAAGAATTAATATAATTTATGTCCAACAGAAGGACAAAAACCAGCAGATATTGCATGGAACTCACTGTAGATACAATGCTAAATATAACGTATGCTAACATAAGTGCTACCTTGTATGAATGCAACATGTAACTTGATACTTCCAGCAAACATTTCTGCTCTCTTCAGAGGTTTGAATAAGGAATCAGTAACCTAGAGCATTGAGTGTCACATAAAGGAAAGTTTTATTCAGATATGAAGAAAGCCCTCATTTGCCATTTGTTCCTTTTTATAAAGAATTAACATTCTCACCGTGAGACCAATTTGCTCAACAAGTTACTACATTAACCTTCTTAGTAATTTTCTTTAGCTGCTTTCAAAGTAGTCTTGGAAATTCAGATACATTTTTCATAAACACTTGAGATTTCAACCAAAATGACACTGTCTGGTTTTCAACAACCAAAAAGAACCTCAAATTTTCCACTGACTAGTATCTTTGTTCTCCCCACCACCAATGGTACTTCAGAAGGCAAATGTAATTCAGATGCATTGCGTTTATGTAATTCAAACCCATGACTATTTACTATCAGAGACAAGTTCAATCACTGCAGTTCTCGGAGGGGAACTCTGAAGATCAAATTGTATGTTCAAACAATCACATTTTTCCTGTATGGTTGCAGCCTTCTAAAATCTAAGAGTCCTGCTGGTAAAGCACCCTCCCATAAACTTGAAAAAGGATAAGTGACCTACCTTTGAAAGTCCGCCTACTTCCAAATAGAAGCAGATAATGAAAACATTCCAGGTGACCCACAGGGCAGTCCACACCGTGTACTAAACACAAAGCCGGATGAAAGCAAAAAGACAGAAAAATAAAATGTGAAGATGAAAGAGGACTTTATACTGAGCAGATCAATAATAAAAAACCTGATATCAGTAAGATTTGTTCTTCTGGGAACAGAAAAGGAGTTTTCCCTGCAGAAGTCCCTGCAGTCCCTAAGAACCATAGGAAATTATAAATCCAATATTCATTGCTGCTCTAAATACACACCAATAAAACAGATTTATTCTTTACAGTTTTACACTATCCTACCAATGCCAATTAAGTCCAAAATGCTGACTTAAACACTGTTTTGGGGGCAACTGTGAGTTATTTGTAAATAACAATTTAGCTCTGTTAATGGAGATTCCAGAATAGCACAGTAATTTAAATAAGCAAATATTATTAAAATATTTAAATATTATGAAGAAAGACACAAGAAAAATACACGATCAAATAAAACAGAAGATCTATTGATCTCATATTGGGATATTTTTCAAAAACAAACAGGTAAAGGCTAAATCTGACCTCTTAAGAGTCTTTCAGTAAAAGGTATTTTAATGGCATTAAAAATAGCTCAGTAATTCTCTGGTCTTTGTGGCCATAAACCCGATCCTACAATGCACTCTTAACAGATGAACGTATCCATATCTCTTCTGGGTTCTCCATTGTCCTACCCTAGTGCTAGACTGAACTCACACTCCACCCAGAGCATGAATGGGAGATTAATTTGTCTTCCTTAAATTATCTTCTAGTTGTCAGCATAAGTGACTGGCTCTATTTCCTTACAGACGCACTATTTACCTATGCACAACCGTAAACTATGCCCAATTAATTCTGCAAGCAGTACACCTTGGAAGCATTTCTGTCGGTCGGCTGAGGGCACGCTCAGCCACGCTGGAGCTACACCCACCCGAACAACACACTGAGCAGCAGCACTGCCACTTCACGTCTATGTGCTTATAACCTTCACAGTGGAGAACTGCTGCTAAGTGCCATTGCAAGTCTATTTAGCTGTGGCCATGTAAGGCTAATACACTATTGGTTTGCTTCAATATACTCAGTAAAGCTGAGTATATCTAATCTACGATATGCAGGATCCCATTTTCATCACATGGGTGCTGTCGGCTTGGCTTTCCTGAGCAGTTTTGGGTGATGTTCCCCTCTTCCTTCCCCTCCCTGTGATGTATGATAAAAGGTTCAGGTGAAAAGGACTGAATTTTTCCTTACTTTGCTTACCCCCCCACGCATACAGTGGTTCCTGTACACCAAACAGGTTAACTGCTTTAATTTAATTTCGTATGAGGTACTTAGGCAGTTTGGAGGTGGTTATGGCATAAGAAGTAGGTCATTAACAAAGAAAGTGTGAGTACCGCTCCTGGGCCGTTTCCTTCAGCTTACAGAGAAGGGCAGTGTGGCAAGTGAAGGCTGAGTTATAAAATAGACAAAGCTGTTGTGGTCTGCAAGCAGTATAAGGTCTAAACTGTTTACAAGATTAACTTAAAAGAGGATATCACATTTTACCACATGCGCTGCCTCTGTAGTAACTCAGCAGCAGCTCCTGATTTTCCAGCACATGTCCTCAGAACACCAGGTGCAGAGTGTTCAAAATTAATGAACACTTAATATCAGCCCAGCTGCTCGTAAAAAGCAGATTTCTGAATATTCAGGAGAATTCCCCTTTTTAAGAAAGATTTTTTTTTTAATCTGTCCATGAATGAAATTTGTCATCACAACAACAGGAAACCTACTTGATGTGCCAGGCCAAGCCAAATCTGTTAATGGCCTCATTCTGCCCCACGGGCACCAAGGACAACTCTGAACCATGCAGGCAAAAACTGTCTGAACTTGCTTTACCAGGGCAAGCTACGCTGTTTTACACAGTCAGGACCTGTTTGGTCCCTTATCCGCCGTGACAATTACTGAAAGGGAAGTGCAGGTGAAAAGTTTGGTGGACTTGGCAGCATTTGATAAACCAAACCATAAATGGTCGGACTCAATGATCTTAAACGTCTTTTCCAACCTAAATGATTCTATGATTCTACGAAAGCAGGTGTGCACCTTGAAACCCAGCTGCTGTGTATGGAAAGACTCTTCCTATACTCTCACTGAACTGCAGGAATATAAATTTAAGCTCTATTTGCTTTAAGAACATAATAATTACATATTCAGTAATTACTATCATATAATTTTTAAAAGCAAGAAAGTTATTGTCCAAATTTGAAAACGCATATTTTGTGGTTTTTTTCCTTCTATAGCATTGTAGGTGGTTAAGGAAGACTACTTTAAAAGAAAAGTTTTATGAAGATAGCAAAAGCAAGAAAGCAAAATTAGGAAATGTCAAGATTCTGGTTATATATGCCATCTTAATTTTTCTCTTTTGTGGATATGCAATACAATGCAAACATTAATTAAATCATTATAGGTATATTTTTATTTTTAAAGACCCTACCTTCCTTAATACATTTTATGAACAGCTAACTCAATACTTCATCTCTCTTTGTCGCTCAGACCCTGCTCTGAGGACAGAATATTAATTTCCTCATGAGGTTTTCTAAGATGCTCATTGCAGTGGTGTCTGAGAGCTGCGCAAACATTAACCAATTTATTTTATGTTATAAGGGAATGATACAGCTCTCAGAATGCAAATTATGTTCTGATACATGCAGAGATTACATTCAGAAGTACTCAAACATTATAGGCATCCAACTTGAGATGCTTAAGACTTCATTTTTCAGAACGCTTGGGATTATACAAGCGCTTTATAAGCTCAGCGTTCAGCTCCCTGTGGCTGAGCATTCAGCACTCGTGCAAATGAGACCACAAGGTCTCAAAACAAGAACCCGGAATGCAAGGGGAAAACAAAGCACGTGAATATTTTGGTTTAAGTGACGCAGTTTGTGTCAAAAAAGGTGTCGGTGGTCGAGAACAGAGATAAAACTCAGCTACCCAGCACAGCCTTCACAGCCAAATCAATCCTTTTAGTCTTGCTGTCACAAGCCTCGTTCTTCCCATGTCTTTTGTTTTCTGCAAATCAAATTTCTATTCTATAGCTGCAATCACCAGAAAAAACCTGAATGTCTGTCCTTTCTACTGAAACTGAGGGCTTTTTTGCAACTAGAAAATTTTGCAACTAGGAAATTGAAACTAGAAAAAAATTGATGTGTATCCATGCAGTTCAAAACGGCAAATATGTAAAAGATTCACATTAAGATTGCACAGGAGAGCTTTAATAACAGCTTTTGTTAATTTTTGAGTGTTTCTTCCTCAAAATTTTGTAATACTTTCTGAACATTATGTGTATGTGTGTAAATTTATACGTACATACCCTCAAGGTTTAAAACAAAAATTGTAACAATAATCTATTGTGCGGCATCACACTAACGCTTGCTTGGGTCGCTAAGAGAGGTGTAACTTTTAGATCCACAATGAAGACCTCTCCTTTTTGCCAGCAGAGAAACTGCCTGCAGCCCCAGGTTGTTTCCCTCTGTGTGCAGGGACATATCATGCACGCTGGCAGACATTTGCTGTCAACAGCGGAGTGATTAGGGTCTGAAACATCAGGTCCACACCGATCCTCAGGGTTCATTTCCTTCCCAAGGCACCTGAACTAATGTGTTTAATGACCTCACCTGCCACTCAACCTCTCCCACCCCATGTCCTGAATACTACCCTGATGGTCCTGTTGTGTCTGCTCACTCTCCCCGCCCCCGAGATTCCTGCCCCAGTTCTTTGGCCAGCCAAATTCACTCCCCCCTGGCTCAGCTGGTCTCATGTTCAGCATCACAACCCTCACCATACCTGGCATGAAGAAGGAATTTTCCACACAGGTTGAATTAATAAGAAGAGGGTGGTTTTGTTTTTTTTTTCATTTTATAGCCCATATGATGCGCTACTTAAAAGTCACCTAGATATTTTCACATAAGAGATTCCTTCTGCTGGAAGGACCTGGGACACTGGTAATAATCTTTGCTGATTCCTCCCCACGATGCACTGTATATTTTTTGGTTTTGGCCTTTTGCACTAAGGATTGTATACTGTGTGGTGTGAGGAAGCATTTGGAGTCTTATAAGTTACGTGGAGAGAGTAGTCCCTAAACCTTACAGGTTAAATATCTATTAAATTATTGTCCAACCCAGCAGGTTCCTTTCAGATCCCCTTTCTTAATGCCAGCCTCTCTACAATAGTGATATTTCTATACCTCTTTTGACTCTACAGGTCATATTGAAACTGATGCAGAGATACCTTTCATATACCAGTGAAATGCAACCATTTCGAGAATTAAATCATCCGTATTAGAGGGACACAATGTCACAAAAAGAAAGAGTTAAGAAAAATGCAAAGGATGGCTTCTTAAACAAAAAGGTAAGAGAGAAAATGGGAATTTCTAAGTTTGAATATTACAAGGATTGTGGGATAGGTTTAGCTTTAATGAATAAACTATCTCAAGTGTGTATTTAATCTGAAGTGCAACACCTCCTCTGACAGTGTTCTTGTCATTAAGGGAAATGGATGTCGGCTCAGGGATACTTCAAAGGAAAAGCAGCAACTACTGAGTCATCAGATTGTCCCCCTGTAATACCTGGCTATGTCTCAGAGGCATCAGAGGCATACAGAGCCCTACTTACTCATATTTCTGAGAGATGACAAGGAAATTGGCATAAATGAACATCATGGAACAGTAACAACTCAGGACTTAACAGGAAGGATATTCAAGGAGTAATTTTGGTTGCCTAAATATTCCACACGTTTTGAAACTGCAAGAGTGTTTGTATAGCATTTGCTTTAATACTGTAAAGTATCCTGTATAGAGCCTCTCTTCTGCCTTTTTTTTTTTGTTTGTTTTAAGAAACTGCCTCCTGGCTTGTCAGATGTACACATTGTCTAAATATCGTATTATTTAAGGGAATAAATTAAGGAGAGCAAAGCAGAGATTTTCGCCTTATATTCTCCTATTTAAGTGTATTATTTTAATATCTCACTGTTCATTAATACATTCATGTTCAGCTTTGGGCCAGGTTTGTGCCGTCTTAGCTATATGACTCATCGTTCAGAAGGCTTTTGAAGTTCCATATCAGAAGTAGAAGAGGGGAAAAAGCCCCAACCTTAACAAGTATTCTGTCGTTATTTTTAATCAATTTTAACAGCCTGAAAATCTTGCTGGTGATAGATAGAACTATCAAGAAAGGAAAAGCATGCACAGGGAAATGGATCGCAGCAGAGCTCTGGAGCTGCATGACGGGTATATTATGGCATAGTTAGAACTGAACTTTTGCTGGTTTTTTATTTGCAAATGTTTGGCTAAGTTTCAAATGAGCTAATATGGGAAAATTAGGAATCAGCTTTGCGCTTTTATGTCCCCTGAGAACTTTGCACTGATTTATTTCAGCCACAAAATATTCAACTACTGAAAATCGCATATCTGCCTAGTGACAGGACAAGTTGTTCACTAAAATTGATCTAAACTAGCAATTAATACAAAAAATGTTAGAAATAATTATTGGATTTAAACTAATTAGGACACTTGGTGTTAATGCGGTGGCTCTCTCTCTATATATTTCCTAGGCTCTGGCGACTCAGAATTTTACCTATAAGCAACTGAAATTCCAGATTTATTTCAGAATCACCATCCTTATAGTCCTATACCTGAAGGGTATCCAGCTGCTTTTGTGTTTATCCAGCTTCTATCACAGCCCTCACTGAGCTACATGGCTTGAGGTACCTGCACCAAAAGCCTGCTCAGTTGTGTCTGCAGAACTACAGTCTCATATTTGAATGCAGTATAGATGGGCTTCAAGTTCTGGCCCTACACGTAACAGATTTATTCCCTTACGTTCGCATTCATGTTGTATGTTGCATTTTACGGGGTGACATATGCAGCATAGGATGGTAAAGGCAAAGCTTTTGTGTAACTTCTCTTGTCAGGGAAACCTTCAGGCACAGCCTTCATTGCACAGATGACAGATTAAAGACCTTCTTTTGAGGTCAACCCAAGGACCTTATAGCTGGTCAGCTTAAGTCGAGATCCCTATGAGAGTATGATAGAATACCATGGGGACAATTTGTGCCACATGCACCAGATCAATTTTGTGTAGACAGTTTACAAAAGTAAACTGTTGTATCTGACTTGACTCTCTCTTTACTTCAATTTTTTATATCCCAGTGGGATCATATGCACCAGCAAAGCTGATGTCCAGGGAAGTTTAAGGAAAAGGCAATGGATACTAAACATACTTTTCCTGAAGTATTTGGTTACTTTTCCAGTTAAACTGTATTTAGCTAAATCTAAACCAGAAGCTTCAGCAATCAGAGTACATAAAAGCATGACTCAACTTTTTTCTTTTTTTTTTTGCCAAAACCACAGAACCAAATTCTCACTCTAATGTGGGACATCAACCACTAACATACCCAGGGGCTCAGATGTGGCTGAGGCTGCAGATATGGACCTGGAAGCCCACAAAGCTTCTCAATGAATTTGGAGCCCAATTCACTACTCTGAGCAGATGTAGGAATCTCTCTGCATGTTGTATTTAAGGAATACTGAAATTCAGGACTCTGCTGAAGATTTGCATTAAACACTTTATATTTGAAGCCAGTAGTAAAAGTTTACCACTGTAACAGGTGGAACATGATTTTATATGGTTTCAGAAGCAGGGAGGCAGTCTATGCCCTTCCTTGGGAGAAGTGCCTCTGGATTCCCTTTTCCCTTAGTGAAGACAGCCTGGAGCTGGCACTGGTAGGGGTCTTTGCTGTCCACACCACTGACTCCTCTAGGGCTTCTGAGGACAGCTGGCAAAGCCCAGCTGTGGTTGGGACAGCCCTAGAATCATAGAATCATAGAATTGCTGAGTTTGGAAGGGACCTTTAAAATCATCAAGTCCAACCATTAACCTACCCTGACAAAACCACTTCTAAACCATGTCCCTAGGCACCACATCTACCCCTTTTTTAAACACCTCCAGGGATGGTGAATCCACCACCTCCCTGGGCAGCCTATTCCAATGTTTAATAACCCTCTCAGTGAAAAAACGTTTCCTAATATCCAATCTAAACCTCCCCTGACATAACTTGAATCCATTTCCTCTCGTCCTATCACTTTTCACCAGGGAGAAGAGGTCAGCCCCCACCTCTCTACAACCTCCTTTCAGGTAGTTGTAGAGGGTGATAAGATCTCCCCTCAGACTCCTCTTCTCCAGGCAAAACAACCCCAGTTCCCTCAGTCGTTATTCATAAGGCTTGTCCTCCAGACCCCTCACCAGCTTTGTAGCCCTTCTCTGGACACGCTCCAACACCTCAATGTCCTTTTTGTACTGAGGGGTCAAAAACTGAACACAGTACTCGAGGTGGGGCCTCACTGGTGCTGAGTGCAGGGGGATGATTACTCCCCTAGTCCTGCTCACCACGCTATTCCTGATACAGGCTAGGATGCCATCGGCCTTCTTGGCCACCTGGGCACACTGCTGGCTCATATGCAGCTGGCTGTCCATCAGCACCCCCAGGTCCTTTTCTGCTGGGAAGCACAGCTTCTGGGGAGCATGTCTTATTGGGAGAATCTCAGACTATAGTTCAATGACCACTTTAGTTGGTGTAACCCTGCACTGCTGCAGAAAGATTCCATGCACTTTTCCCTTTCCTCTGGCTACTTGTTCCCTTTTACCCTCTTACACCTCCTCCCTTCTGCTGGAACAAGCCTAATAGAGAAACAGGTCAGAAAGCTGTCTGGTACTTAACACTGGAAAAGAAAATGGTTGCTTTTCAGCTGCATCTGTTCTGGTTTGATAGTAAATCAAGTGGCTGAACTGATACTTGTGTTGGTGCAAATGAAGGAACAGCAGAGGGACTGAAGGTAGCAGCTGAGCAAAGGGAGGATTATTGCTTATGCTGGCTTGAGGCATTCACTGAATTCAGCCTGAGGGTGAAGTTAGACAAGAGGCTGAACTGACAAGTTTGCAGCTCGCAACAAGGGAAGTCTTGCATCTCCTCCTTTCCCCTCTGCCTCCACACTGCTGTTCACAACAGCACAGTCCCAATCCCTGCCTTATGCTGGCCCTGGCACCCATTGGGAACCTCACAGGCTGTATTCAGCTCACCAACCTAGCAAAAAACTCTCCACTTTTTGCTAGGTTCGTTTTCTGACAGCTTAGGAGTGGAACTGGCTTACTGAAGAGTCCAGTTAACTGCTGCCAGAATTGGTGGAGAGGGTTCGGAGAAGTGTTGAGACAGGGAGAACAGTAGGAACAGGGAGGTATGCAAGCCACCCCCTTCTGCTGATGTTGTGAGGACTCTTGTGAGGTTGGTTCCAGACAACTTGTGTACTTTCACCTTTCAAACGTCAGGATTTGGCTCAAACTATTCCTACTTCACTGCGAACCTTACATTAGTAAGGACAGAAATTGCTCTGAAGTCTTGATCTTCCCAAGTAATGAGTATTTGCACCTGCTATAGCTTGAGCTCTTAAATATATGCTTAAAGTTAAATCAGAGTGTGAGTTCAGTCAAACCTGAAGATAAAGTATCTTGTTGAGGTGTTTCTTTATTTAATTACGAGTTTTCTACCCCTACTTTAAAACAACTTTAATATCGTCTAAAATGCTCATTTACATTGCAAAAGATATAAAAACAGTCAACATCTGTTGTGTTTCATTTGAAAACTAAGGCAGTGCTGAACCTGAGGGGCAAGAGATTTTGTGGTGTTGCACTTCAGGCATGAATTTCCAACATAATTTTACAGATACTTACCCTCACTTGCTCCAGATATCTTACGTATAAAATGGAGAACATGAAGTAGAAAGGTGAGTCATCAAGATATGGATGTATATACACTGCTGCCCAGTTCTTCAACCACAAGTAATAGGTAAAAGTGCTATTATTTACATCAATCCATTTGCAATCACTTATAGTCTGCTTGTGAAGCTTAGCTAATGTGAGTATAAAGAACCTTGGGTGCACTTTTTGTTCACTTTTTCTTTTAAGACATGACAAAGAATTACAGGATTCCAGGCTTGACTAGAAATGATGAAGCTTTTAAAGTATTTGTTTGATGAGTTTTCCTCAGTAGACATCTATTTTACTCTTTTGTGAGGGGAAAAAAAAAATAACTTTAGCCTCTTAAAATCCATTACTGACAACATAACTGAAATGTTCCAGATACAGACACTGCCAGGTAAAGAAATAATATTCATCTATTCAGGAGAGACTGTGGGGGAGGAAAAGGGATATTTTTTGTTGGCAGTTTTCTTCACAGCTTTGAAGGGGTTTTTTTTATTCCTGGCTATGTTGAGAACATGGGAGAAAAACCTGTGAAGCCTCAAGTTACAAGCATCAGAGACAATTTACAACAATTTAGGGTCAAGACCATAAATATAGGTCTTGGCAAAGTTAGATGTAAGTGAGAAGGAGTTTTCTCTGGAACCCATAGGTCAAAGGACAAAAGGAATTTCTGCAATTCTTGCTTTTCCCTTTTTAAGAGGAAGATATAGCTAAATATAACCTGACCATTACAAACATTTTTTTAAATGGTCATTGATTCTGCTTGTCTCTAGCAAATAGAACAACAATTTGTATTTCTTTTCTTCATTTATGCATAGTCCAATTGTCGTTGTTCCCATGACCCATCAAGGTATTTCATTCTTTAAAGAATCTTGTTAAGAACTTATATCATGATCATATTTTCGGTAGCACTTTCTCTGGGTAACCCATTCTTGATAGCTTCCAAAATCTCAGAAATGCCACTCAGTAGTCCTAAATTTGCAAAAAAACATGTAGACCTCTAAAGTTTCTATGGAAACACCATCTGGGGTTTTGAGGCCAAGAAAATTCTACTTTGTAATGTGACAGGTTTTAAGACGAATTGCAAAAAATAATAGATAATAAATGAGACTTACCACGACTATATATCGAGGCCTAAACTGGATGGTTCCAAACAAACCCAAAATGACAACTATTATTTGTAGGAAATTGCCAAGGATAGGAGCCCATTGGAAACCAAGGAAGTCAAAGATCTGTCTCTCTAATGCTGCCAGCTGTAAGAAAACACATAAACAGAACATCCACTTTTTAATTATGGGTGAGACAGAACACTTAACATTTTGTTATTTGCACCAGGCTTCACCAGGCAGAAGTACGGCAAAATTCTGAAACTATGGTTCCTGGGTGTAGCCTTTGTCAGTGTTTCAGCACAGTGATATCTGAAGATAGCTACTAGTCAGCATACAGTTCTCCTAATGAAAAAATGCTTGGAAAAAGGTTAAGAAAATGCTTGTAAAACCCTCACATAACATAAAACTACCTCTACAAACCAAACACAGACAAGTTTTCTTCTGTTCTTGAATGCTGGAAACTCTAAGGCTTGACAATATGTATTTAAATACAAAAAATGTCTTAAACAGAGGCTCACCTAGATTTGAGCAAAGCCAAGCAAACCTTGCTGTTGTTAATGAAGTATCATCGTGCTCCCTCCCTTCCCCATGTCTTTGCTTTCTTAGATTTAGTCTCAACTAGACTCGGCTGCCAGTTCCTCAATGTATTCCTAAAGGAGAGAGAATTTGGCCAAAAAAAGGAAGATCAGGCTCAGAGGAGACCCAGATGTAGCTACTGAGTACATTCCCAGGAGTTGCCTAATGCAGGAATTAAGGAAGACTGCTGGGACTTCCTCACTACTTGAGGCATGGAGGCAGGCTCGTGGACTGAAAAGTTATAGAAAATGCTGGAAGACATTGGAGTACGCTACTTCAAAACCATCAGCCAAATGAGCAATCTGCACTCTGCCAAAAGCTGCTAGGTTACTTTGGACAAGCGCAATCAGAAAGACATGGTGGCAACAGAATGGCTCTCTTCCCTCTGTCCTCATGGTATTTTGGGGGTGGATTTAGTTGGGTTTGGAAATGGAGGAAGCTAAGAAGCATCGACCTTCATCCTTGTATTAGCATGTGATTCTTAGGTAATTCTGCATTTCTGGATGTTAAGCAAAAAAGAAAGAAAAAAAAAAAAAGCCAGATTAAAATTTTTCTGCAAACACATTTGCTACTCACTTTTGAAAGTCCAGTCTATCATTCTAAAGATACTAAAATCAACTTTCTCAGCAGCACACTTGTTGAAGTTTAAACTTGGTTCAATATTTTTCCAGCCATCGCAAGACATTTTTGATAAACAACTGAGTTTCTGTGCTTGCCACAATTTATTACACATCTACTTGATTTTACTACATTGTTACAAACCCTAAAATTTACCGGAATATGCACTTAAAATATTTATAACTGAGACAGATGGAGTAAGCATGGCTCTATGAATACCAACCAAAGTATTATAATTTGTGGGTACTTCACATAAAACATTTCTTTTTACACATAATGGCCAGATTCAATCCTCACCTACAAGATGGGATTAGGTGTCATTGAGAGCAGAACAAAAATCATTCCTTACACCAGTCATGAAAAGCACATTCTCTATGCTGAGGTTAATAAATATGATAAATCTAAACTATTAAATGAACAAAGATTGAATCATCAACTTGGTGCAGCTCCTCCGCAATCAGTGAAGTTACAGACTTTTAACAGCTAAACATCTGGCCCAGTATACATAAATGAAAAATTATCACACAGAAGACAGACAATGTTAAAATTATGTTATCCTCTTGGACATGTAAGATGTTCCTATCTTAACAGAAATTATCTTATTCTTTTCATGCTGTAGGTAAGAGAGAATCTCAGAGGGAACACCACTCCCATGTGAGTGAAGCTGTTGGCTCATGTGGCATTAGCTATCTACCTTGCATTTGTTACACTCTGCCTTCTCTTCTTTTAACTCCTTGTCCTATACCATCTGGATCAATAAACAAGTTTTCTTCCCTAGATATGGAAAAGAACTACAGAAGTTAATGACCAAATCCAGAAAATGACATATTTACATGGACCTCAGATGGAATTTCAATGCATAACGGTGTGGCTGTCACCTTCCTGGAAGTATATGAGTGTCCTAACTGGTACTCAACAATGACCCCAATGTCATTCTTGTAATGTCTTCACCTTGTAGTAGACTCATAAGCATCACAATAATGGCCTAGTTAGGACTTCACTAGGGACACCTCAGAATCACTTGCTTTTTCAACCACTCTCTAATGTATTCCCTCGGGGCAATTCAGGTGACCTCACATTTGGGAATACCCCGGCCTGTAGCTTCCCTAAACCCCAGGATACATCACACGGTACAGTACAGTACAAGTGTGCCCCAAATCCCATGTGTGAGATGGTGTGAGATTGCAGAGAGTTTCAAAAACTCTTTGGCACAGCAAGAACTCACAGTTTATGGTATGAGCAACCATGTACCAAGACTCATGTCCTGTATCACATAGGAAGACATTTATGACACCCATGACCAGAGCCAGAGCCTTTTTTCAGTCCACCACTACAAGTGGAGTTCTTCCAGGGTTATCAAGGCACCTAAATAATTCCTAGACCACCATTTTCCAGAGACAATGTGTCTTCTTCCTGGAGCCCTGACATTACCAAGTGAACAGAGGACGGAATGGCCAAGTCAGATTAGAATCTGTTTATCAGCCACCTCTTCCCTGACATTCTTCAAAATTCTCACATAGCCTGTCTTCACCTGCACCAATAGACTATGTTCTGTAATGGTCCCAGCACTGAAGGCAGCTGGATTAGGATTGCTTCCAGTAAAGTGTCCTTGGCTCTGGAACAGGGCAGCTGTGTGCAAACTACATACCTATCTGCTCAAACGGTTCCTGGGCATGGGTGAACTGGCAGGGAAGACCGATGGCCACAATGAGCCCTGCTAACACGACAGAAGGCTCTAACAGCTCCCTAGCACCCACAATGGCGTGCCACTGCCTAGCCTCTTCCCCAGGCACATGTGAATTTGCTGGTGTAGAGAGCACAGGGCTTGGCCAGAGTCGGTATTGAGGAAATTCATTCACACATATGGTTCACTGCAAGAGATGGCTGCCCTGCTCTCTTAGACATGTTATGTATTGCTGAACCCCCTAGAGCTGTCTGAAAGACAAAAGCCTGTAGCCCAGGTATGAACACTGCAGCACAGATATGAATGAACCTGTTTAGTATGTGTCCGTTCTTAAATTGGTCCTTAGGAGCAATTTTCAGAGCCATGTAGATCAGCACCTTAAATGCCTGGAAGACGTAGTACTGCAACGTCAATGAACACAGCCACTGCACTCTGCCAACAGACTTATGTTAACAGATTTGGTACTCAGCTCATGCCTAAACTGGATCAGATGCAAAGTTTGCCTTCATGTGTACCTCCTTGATATCTGCCAAGAAAGCTCTGGGCACCTCTGGTCACAAGTATCTTCCCAAAGATGGTTGTAGAAATGTGTATATGCACTGTAGGTAGGTATACACATATAAATAATAATTAGTCTTTTTATGGACTACCGTGGTAAAGGCACCCATCACATACACAGAGAAATAAGGTTCAGTTTCCTCTCCTGCTGCCTACTGAGGTATCCATTCCTCTCCTCCCACCTCCTATCCATTAAGATACCAAGGGGCAGAGCTTCCCCTTGAAGCTGTGTCACCAGGTAAAAAATAAAAATTTGCATTTAGTGAGTAAAAAAGAGAGCACAAGCAGAAACACGAGTCTACAGTCTACTGCTTACGGCACTTATCCAGGATTAGGGGAGTTGCTTGTATTTCTTGCCTGCAGAGCTCGCTCTTTATTTTTATATACAGTGACAGCATGTAAACCACCAGAGTCCTGAGAGCAGGATACCAAACATGCAGCACCATTCATTCCGCACTAGCAAGTGCTTTCACCATCGGGCTATGGTGAGACCTTCCTGTGCAGCTAAGTCTCATTTATTTTGCTCTTGCCGCCAACACGGAGTAATTTGTCTCATCCCTAAAGCCCACAGAATATATTAGCTGGGGGGTGGAATCTAAGGAAAGGAGAGAGGTAGGAGATGTCTATCCTGCTCAAATTACTAATCTCTTCTAAATTACAAAACCTTCTTACAGACAGTGCAGCTAGAAGTTAAAAAACTAATAATTCATTATAATGGCAGAAGAAACATATTAGCTTCTGGTTTCTTTATACCATACGCAATATGCACTAAATAGAGATAGCATATAAGTGCTGCCGTTCTTATGTCTAGTATTACACCCAACAGAATCCCCAAGCAGAGGTGAAGGCCACAGACGTTTTAGCTCTGTACAAATGAATAAAAGCAGTCCCTAACCCAGTCTGGGATGCAAGTAATAAATTCACCGCACAGAAATCAAGGGAATAAAGGGAGGGAAACAGGTAGCTGCGCACAATTGCAGACCATTTTTACACAGATGTGAAGAGTCAGCACTACCTGTCTGCACAGGTGCAAAACCTCAGTAGCCACAAGCGGCCACCAGACTAACCTACGCCACATGGTGCAGTCGGAAAGGAGCAGGCACTGTGACAGACTGCTTCACTTGGAGTTATGTGCATGTGAGTGCTTTGAAATGTTTCACCAAAAACATTTTGATGATAAAGAGGCTATTTTTCTCAACAAGAAATTTTCCCAAGAGAACTTCTGCTTTCATCACCATTTTCAGATTCATCTGAAAACAGCCAAAAAACCTCAACCCTGAAGGCGAAGCAGAGGTTCCCCAAATCAGCTGGCTCAACTTCTCCCATTCCTAGAAGACATATATCAACTTAGTAAGGCAGAGGAGCTTGAGGCTGGAGAAATGGGGTATCCTTGATGTGACTGAGGTCCTCTGAGGGTTTACTGTCATACCACATTCCTAACAAGCACCTGTTGGGAGAGTCTGGCACCACCACTGCTCATGATAACTCAGACAACCAAGTTTGGGAGTTTCCATCCTAAATTGTTTGATGCTCTTATTTAATGATTAACATAAAAGTGGAATGGAAACCCAAACACTTTTTCTTGCAAATAAATGGGGGTTTCAGTTTTAGCAAATTATATACTGCAGGTCTGTTTTTAGTGAAACCTATGTCAAGTTGTGTGAAAAATTTTCATGAGAACTTATAAAAATCTATCAAAGTTGATAGGAGATATCATTTTCTTATCATAACAGTTGGAAAAGGAGACATCATATTTCTTATTACTGCTGCCAAGGGAGTGTTTTGTTATTTAGTCATCATCAGCACCGACAATCTTGTAATGTAAAGTGCACAACTCGGGAGAGTAGGACTAGCAGTAAAATGCTCCAGTGGGACAGTATCAGACCACTTAATGAAGATGTGCCACATTTGTCTTGTTCTTTTATCTCTTTGTTTCACTAAGTCTATCAAACATTCCCCATCTCCCTCTCTCTGCAGAGTGCAAGAAGAAGCTGCAAGACAGAGCTGCATTAAAGTCTCACAGGCTGAACTTTCTTTTCTGGGCATGCCCAAGACCTTTTGTGTTACCAGCAGCAAAATGTTCAGGAGAGCTTAGCTGTTTGAATTATGAGCTTCTCCACCTAGATGGATCAACCAGACATGTAGTACATTTGGAACATCCTGACAGAAGAAATAGGGCAGTTGTAGCCTTAATGCCCCATATGTTGCATATGGTGAAGGAATAACAAAACAAATGGTGAGGCAACAACCAGGAATACTGAATACAATCTACAGAAAGAAATCACCAAGACGGTCCTAGTCAATAGAGAGATCAAAAAACATCTTTGAGATCAGACCTCAACAAATGCCCACTAGGGAGCAAACCCCTCCTCTAAACTCTCAGGTCCTATTATATTTCAAAATACATATCAGAAGCTGTCTGAGTGATGAGACACCACAGCAGAGCTACAAAGTCAACTTTTCAAAATGAGTGTAAAAAACTCAATTTTCTCTTCTGTCAGAAACCTCATGGATAACAGTCAGTTTTCTATTATAATGGAAAATCTTTTATAAACAACATGTTAGTTTGAGATGAATAAATAGATCTACATCCATAACAGAAGGAGTCACTGGATGAAGAAAAAGATGTTTCATATGTAACATCATTTTAAACAAGAAAAGACCTAAAAGTAGCTTGATATAAATCTAAAAATATTAATAATAAAAATATTATTAATATAAATATAAAAAGAAAATTATATGTAGAAATATCTGCAAATTTGATACCCTATAAATTACTGAGTTTAAAAAATTGGGAAAGTATAAACTACTCTGCATTTGATATTAAAAAGCTGCTTCAATTTGTCATGTAAGACAACCACCAAAAATTATAATAACCAGAAAAGTATCCATTCTATATCTAACAAACTTGTACTCAAGAAAGCTAACAGCAATCATAAAATTAAATACTTAGTAACTGCAGAGCTGTAAAATGACATAGTTTTGAAACCCTTTTGAAATAAAATCAATTTAAAAGCTAGGAAAAAAGACACAAATTATTATGACTTCCCAAATGGACACAGTTTCCCCAGCTTTCAAAAATGAAAATAGTATACAAAAAATGGAAAATCCAAAAATTACAGTCCAAAGCATTTATATTCTAAGTTCAAGTCAGGAATTATCTGAAACATTTGAATTATGCATGTAAGACTGATTTGGCTGATCCTGCTAATAATTATCACAGGAGAAGTGCCAGGGCACAGCTCATCATCCATAATAACTACTGCTCCTAAGGATAAAGACTTTTTCTCCACAACTTCCTCCTTCATCTTATGGCCATAAATTTAACCTGTGGATTCAGAAAGAGTTTCCTGGACATGAGGAATCTCTGAGGACTGTTGTTCCTTCTACCATTACCACTAGTTTCCACATCCAACACACCGTGCTGAACTACAGACAGTTCGGTCTAGTTTTGTAGAGGAAACTGTTAAAGACTGAACTGGTTCCCAAGTCTCCTCCAGGAAATCTACCTGGAGCTTTAAGTGCCCTCTATTCTGGAGCCCCAGGACACCTTTACTGAGCTCAGCAGTGCACTTACCTTTGCCTCCCACCCCATCCTTCCATCCCATCCCATCCCATCCCATTCCACCCTCTCTCCCTCCTTCCTTCTTTCCTTCCCTCCTTCCTTCTTTCTCTTTTGCCCAGATCACTGAGCAACCCCAAAGAGGACAATGCCAAGGCAGAAATGGAGAGGAGCAGTGGGAGCCACTTCCACCACCTTGTAGCCTGTGTACTTGGCCGGAATAGAGAAGACCTTGCATCAAGGTCATTTTTAGCACCAGCTGCATTTGGCTTAAACCCAGTCTTCGCATTCCAGCGCTCTTAGGCATGTATTTTCTTTTCTTTGACAGATGTTCCACTGAGAAAACATTTTTGTACAACCCTGGGGCAAATGCACAATGTTCACATCATTCTTTTACATTTTTTTTTGAGAATACATACTTTATAAAAGTATGAAAAGACATCAAAAAGGTACTGAACTGGTCTGGATAAAACCAGCACTGGAGAGTAAAATATTGACTTACTAAATGCTAAAACCTTAGAAGTGAAGCAAGAAGAAGGTTGAAGAAATAAATAAAAAATTAATTGCATCAAAGACTGACTGGTAAAGCATAAAACACTTTTATACAAATCTTATACTCTTGCTGTAACTTGAGAATTTTACTGACAGTCTTGACTTCAGTGAGAAGGAAAATAAGATTTAACATGAAATGCTAGGTTTGTAACGGAGGGGAGAACATTTAAATTTGAAGCAGAAGGGTGCTGTCAGATGATCGCTCTTAACCAAAGAGTGCTATTTAGGAAGTTAGTGTCCCTCATCTAAAGGTTACAGCCTCCTTACCTGTGAGTTAAAACCTTTCAATAGAAGCTTCATAATCAAAGATGAGTGCAGTCTGTGTCACAATGAATTGTTAAAATTTGACTTAAATCACTCTTTATACCTTCGGTGATGGTTAAAGCAATCATCTGACCACAGAGGAGATTCCCATTAGATTTTTAAAGATCTGAACTCACTTGTCTAGGTGAAATACTAGCTTTCAGGTGATTTTAAGACGGTAATCCCTTATAATAGCTCACTGAATACATTTATAAGATTATGTGGCAGGAAGGTTATTGAATTTCAGGGAAGGTTCTGAGTAAATCACTAATGGTTATAGTAAGTTCAGTTTCATTGGAGCAAAAGAGAAACTGCTAGCTTTCTGAAAAGTAATTGTTGAAGAAAAAAAACAAACGCCAGTGATCTAATATCAAAAGTGCCTTTGCAGTGTTGGCCAGATAGGTAATTGGCTGTCAGTTGTGTAGGTGTACGACTGGATAAAATATAATGCAAAAGAAATGTATATGCTGAAAGAGCTCAGTAAAAGAGTAGTAGCCAAGATTAGAGAAAGCCGAAGAATAGAAACAATGAAAAGAAAGGCAGGTATGAAAAAAAAAAACATTCTTTTTTTTAAGACAGCCTGTGTTGCCTTTCAACAGTGAAAGTTGTTCTTATTCATCAGCTATTCAACTCGTGGAAAATATTCAAAACTAAGTAATGGTCTTTCCATTGTTCTTGTAAACGCTTTCGTGAATGAGTTCATTGGAGGAAGGTGGTAGTGATAGCACATAATATTGCAGTAGACATCATATTTTGGCAAAATAATTCAAAGTATTTTTCTGAGAAAAAAAAATGCGTCACTCATCAATACTTTGCCAGCAGTTCTTTGATAATTACTTAAGGAAAAAGACAAGTAAGTAGCAAGCAGTTTATGTTCGATTATTTTTGAAAGCCAATATACTGTACTAATGTCTCAGAACCAGCCACCACTAAACTACTGGCAAAGCTGATCTCATCTAAGAATCTGGTCCATAGTATAATAAGGAGAACCAGTAAATGTCAGATCTTAGAAATCTATAAAAGTAATTATAAGATGCTGAAAGGGTTCTCTTCCTTAGCTCATTTTCTCCACATCTTAACAAATATATTTATTTCTTTAATATAGCTATTTAACATTATTAGACAGGCACAAACCAAAAGTAATTCTTAAAGGTAAAATGTTTTCCTAATTATGTGTACTACAAAAGCCTTGCAGCTACACCAGTGATGTGCAGGGAGCCTTTAAGTGATGGGTCTGATATGAGGGTGTTGTGCACTTTCACCAAACTCAGCCTGAGCCTTCAGTTTTGTCTCAGATGAAACTCCTGTGGAAGTCAAAAGGAGCTGTGACTGCATCAAGGCTGCAGGACCTGGTTCAGAAAGGCAACAGTAAATTATTTAAGAATCTCATCAGCATGGAAGAAAAAGTCTGTTAATATTTATTCTGCAGGGTCGCCTGACTGCAGTGATATAAAAGTGGCATCAAATAGTCCCACTTCTGAGAACACTACAGGTGCCAGTGTGGTATACCCAAGGCTGACTGCTACGTCTGTACCAAACAGACACTATAAAAACGCAGTTACCGTCTATGAGTAGTTATGATAAGGAAGAAGCCAACTATTGTAATAAAACCCCATAGTGCCAACTCGTTACAGCCGGGTGATTTAATATTGAATTTCAACCCTCCAATGAAGCTGTAACTGATCCCAAAACACTAAAGTCAAGCTCCTTGGCTGGTTGACCTATACAATCCTGCAAACAGCTGGAATGAACATGCTTATAATGGCATTTAAGACTCCCTTGGTTGTTTCATTTAAATGCCAGCACACATACAGCAAAAGACGGTGTAAGAGATGGTTATAGGTTAAAGATCTTTAAAGATTTCTACCTTATTATGAATGATAAAGTCCATGTCAAAAGAAACTAGAGAAAAGGGAAAAGCAAATTAAAATTTGTCTTCTGTGTAATTATATCAAGCTACATATGCAGCAGCTTTAATCCAAAACAAAGCTTTTATTTGTCACAGCATTACATCCCTTTATATCTTCAAATCCTAAGTTCTTATAATTGTAAGGTTGTTTTTCTCATTTATTTGCACATTTGAACACATCTAGCAAATCTATGTACCTTCACAGGCTTCCTCAGTCGCTGCTTAAGAAATGGCATTTACTGACTAAAAGTGAGAAATAAATGTTTACTACTACTTTGAATTCCCAGGGCATAGGTCAGGCACAGAGGTAGCTGGTGATGCCAGCACTTGATAACAGCGATACCAACAGCCCTAGATCCCTCCCAGATTCTCATGATTATGGTATCAAGCCAAAAAAAAAAAAAAAAAGGAGAGAAAAAGAAAAAGCTGATAACATTTGCTGCAGGATCTGTGCCCAACCCATCCCCAGCATGAACAGACAGACTATGAGCATGTGAAGGGAGAGAGGATGAGATGGGCACCAAGACTGCAAGGCATGAGATGATTTGAAATCTCTGTAAGGTAAACAGATAAAACAGTATTTAGACTAGATGAATGGTGTGGTCCTTCTGGCCAAAGAACAAACCTTTACTCTTATAAAATACATCAAGGAGTCTTTGATGCCCTAGAAACCCCTGGATTTTAATGTAGGCTCCAAAAGAAGACAGAAATTATACCAGATGGAGCTCTCCTCCCATGACTAAGGAAGACATGTTCAGAGTTCACAAGGAGCTGTACAAGTTGGACAGTTCATTGAAGGTCTGAGTTCAACTGAGTCAAATTGTTTGATATGAGCTTTGGCATAAAAGATCAAATGGTACAAACTGGCTCGTGCTAGGTCTTCTGAAACATAAGGTTTCCCACAGGACAGTGCATCTTCTGTTAGAGCTTAGTTTGTGGTTCCAAAGAGGCATTATATCTTAAATCACCAACTCTCTTCAGGCTAAACAAAGTATTAAGCCAAGGCAGCAAAGTAATAAAAATCATCTGCTGCCTGTTACCCCTAATTTGAGCCACAGCATAGAGCCTATTTCCACAGCAGGGAGGAGTTCAGATGTCTGCCTGAATAACTTTTCCTTTCTTTCCCCAGAAAACTTCTCTGCAGTGCCTCTCTGGAGGCCCAGCTATGCAAAAATAGAAGAATGAAAGACTGCATCTGCTTAAATTCGCCAGATGCACAAGGGAAAAACAAGCAGTTTAGCACCAGCTCAGAAGTCTGATAGCGTGTCTAAATCGATCCCTGCATTGCAGTTCATTCATTTGCTATCAAATGCCGAGTTCAAGTATACTAGAAACAATCATGGATCCTTTGACTTCTTCATTGCATATGGGTTTGATGAGGAAACTCTCTGATATTGGATCATTTCATGTTGCCACATAAAACAGAGAAAAGTACTTCCCAGTTCACAGCATAGCAACAATATCCTTCCACCTCATGAGTTATTTGGCCAAGAAGATGCGTTGTGGTGAGGACAGAGGATGCACTCTCTACTTCCACATGCTGAAAAGGCTGTTGCTTTTTTTTTTCTTTGATGAGAGGAAAAGATATTTGGTGAGTATCAAATTGACCTGAGTCTCTTCCATAGTTTTTACTGTTGTTGTCTTTTTCTCCCTTCAGAGCTCTGTCTCATCGCCACAAGCAGCCAAGCTCACCCTTTTGAGGTAAGTCAGGTGAAACAATTCATGACATAATTGAGCAAGTCAATTTACACCGTTGTTAGGAAGGTAAACTGAAGTAACTGAACCTAAGGCAGCAACATTTAGAGCAGATGTCCAAGCCCATTACTGAAAAATAATATATACAAAGCTGCTCTTTGTTCATTGTTCTCTATAATCAAGAATATCTAATGCTTCCAGCAGTTCTGCCTGCTGTATGCTGAAATCTTGCAAATTCTCAAAACATAATGCAGGATCTGGACTGGCATATACCAGCTTGCATCTCC